ACATGGTTCCCTAGTCACCACATTTGTTCGACTGTACAGAGATCACCAACAAAGAAAACAGGTTGCTGAAGGGGAACTGATGATCTTTCAGTAATCATGTGGATGGTCAGGCAAGCTACCATCCTTCCTTGCATGTCCTCTTCCTTAGAGTTGGGCATTCATGTGGTGGTCACCAAGCAACTGTGTAGAGCAGGGGTGTCCAACATATGGCCTGTGGGCTGGAACTGGTCTGCCCAGGGCTTTAATCCCACCTGCAGCTCTCTTCTCTCACCCCATCCCTCCCCTGTCCATCCTCAACCTTCTGAGCTGCCACTGAGAGCAGAGGGTGGGGCTTCTGAGCTTCCCAGTTCCCAGCCACGTGGATCGGCTAGAGCTGTTCATTTCTTTAAGTCTGCTGTGTAAAGGGGAGGGAGCTTGATAGTTAACATTGCTGTGCTTCTGGCTGGTTTTCTGTTGTGTTAATTAATTGAGCTTGAGGCTGCAGCCAGTGAGTCTGCTAGAGCTGTTTATTTCTTTAAGTCTGCTGTGGTGGTGGTGGGGAGTTTGGTCGTTAATGTTGCTGTGCTTCCAGGTGGTTTTCTGTTGTGTTAATTGAGCTTGAGGCTGCAGCAATGTGAGTGGGTTAGAGCTGTGTGAGGGGGAGGGATCTTGGCTGCAAACATGTTGTTATACATCTTGATGGAGGTTTTCTCTTTTGTTTATTGAGTTTGACACAGGAGCCACCTAGGTTTGCTAGAGTTCTGGGTTATCAATAATTCCTGTCCCTCCATTCTTCTTGGGGGTAGTGTTTGTTTAGTTAGCATTTGGTTTTTGCCTGGGCTACCCAGGTCATGGCTCCATTGAAGAGCCTCTGCTTGGCTTGCTGGGTTTTATCCCTGGCACCTCCAATAGATATTGTTTACCTTGACTTCCAGAAAGCTGTTGGCAAGTGTGCTTAAAATGACATTTTATCTGTATTGTGCTGATGCTTATGTGTATGCAATGTATGGGTTTGGGAATACTGTGTAGTCTGTTTGCATTGAGTTTGCCTGCACCTGGAAGCTGCTGTGCCAATGTGCTGCTTGCACCAATATGTTAATGAAGACACACACACACCTACCCATCCTGCCTTGGGAAAGAGAAGGCATCCTCCATTACACTCAGCCAAGAGACTCTTTTAAACAACAGGTCGTCCACCATTGAGGATCTCTGGACATCACGTAACCCTCATACCTGGTTTTGCATCTCAAGAGAAGATTTCCTGTTTACTTCTTCAGGAGCCAGCTAGAGCATCAACACCTCAAAGGTTTCCATGGCCATACAACTTTCACACCTTGACCAAATGGTTCCATTGAAGTATAGACTTAGAATTTTAATATTGCCCCACTCCCTCTAGATAGATACATCACATCCCAATGGCCAATAGACATAGGGTCTGGGACGGACTACAAGTAGGAGGTTGGCTCTGATGCCAACCGCCAAAATTAGGTTATAAGAGGCAAGGAGCAGCCTTTGTTCCTTGTTAGCTAACCATCCTTCCCCCCCCCCACCTAGGCAACTGAAGCTCTACTACAGGTAGTTCTTACGTGCTCTCTTGGAGGCCTACAAGAGAGCCCACACATGTTTGGCTGGTCCATCTGTGTGGAGTAGAATCCCTCTAGCTAGATTTTTTGTTCCCGCTTTCTTCATTGAGATCAACTCCATCTTCTGGAATCAGATAAGTATTAACCGGTACCCTTTTCTGTGTTTTCCTCCAACTAGTTAAAGCTCTATTATTTTCCCTACTGATTGCTCTCCATTGCTATTTCATCTAAAGGACCTTGAGTGTATGTGTGACTGATTTTGCTTATTGGTATGCTTGTGTATTATTTAGTAAAGACAACATTTATTCTTTAAACATCCAGTTGTGTTGTCTCTTTATTGGGAAAAGGGAGTGTTCGTTCTGATTCTGATCTCTGTATAAACTGATCAAAAGAACTCACGTGCCCCTGTTGTACATAAAACGGTATTGGTCCAGTGGTTAAATCCTCCACAAGAGGACTTCCGCTAACAAAGCTTTTGATAAAGTTCCTCATCAGATAAAAAACCATGGGATAAAAGGACAAGTCCTTTTATGGATCAAAAACTGGCTAATTAATAGAAAACAAAGAGTGAGTATAAATGGGCAATTTTCTCAGTGGAGGGACGTAAGCAGTGGGGTACCGCAGGGATCAGTACTTGGTCCACTGCTTTTTAACATTAATTAATGATCTGGAGTTGGGAGTAAGCAGTGAATTGGCTAAATTTGCGGATATACGAAGTTGTTCAGGGTGGTGAAAACCAGTGAGGATTGTGAGGCACTCCAAAGGGATCTGTCAAGGATGGGCAAGTGGGCGTCAACATGGCAAATGGGGTTCAATGTGGCCAAGTGCAAGGTGATGCACATTGGAGCCAAAAATCCTAAATATAAATACACATTGATGGGGTCTGAACTGGCAGAGACTGATCAAGAGAGAGATCTTGGAGTTGTAGTAGATAACTCACTGAAAATGTCGAGACAGTGTGTGACTGCAGTAAAGAAGGCCAATGCTATGCTGGGGATTATTAGGAAGGGTATTGAAAACAGATCATCCAATATCATAATGCCCCTATATAAATCAATGGTGCAACCTCATTTTGAATACTGTGTGCAGTTCTGGTCACCACACCTTAAAAAGGATATTATAGCTTTGGAAAAAGTGCAGAAAAGGGCAACTTGAATGATAAAAGGTTGGAACATTTTCCCTATGAGGAAAGGTTAAAGTGCTTAGGGCTCTTTAGCTTGGAGAAACAACGACTGAGGGGTGACATGATTGAGGTTTATAAGATTATGCATGGGATATAGCAGGTAGAGAAAGAGGTACTTTTCTCCCTTTCTCACAATATAAGAACTCGTGGGCACTCAATGAAATTGCTGAGCGGTCGGGTTAGAACGGATAAAAGGAAGTACTTTTTCACCCAAAGAGTGTTTAACACATGGAATTCACTGCCACAGGAAGTGGTGGCGGCAACAAGCATGGACGGCTTCAAAAGGGAATTAGATAAGCATATGGAGCAGAGGTCCATCAGTGGCTATTAGCCACAAGGTATAGATAGGGGCTCTGGGGCAAGTGATGCTCTGTCTTCTTGGTGCTTGGGGGGGGGGTCAAGAGTGGGAGGGCTTCTAATGTCCTGGCCCCACTGGTGGACCTCCTGATGGCATCTGGTGTTTTTGGCCAGTGTGTGTTGGACTGGATGGGCCTTTGGCCTGTTCCAACATTGGCGTCTCTTATGTTCTCATTTTTACCAGGCTGTGGCTTATTATGAGAAAGACTTCAGCCTGAGTCCCTGGAGAGCCACTGCCAACTCTGAGTAGACCTGGAAGAGGAGAGAAGCTTACAATGCCCAGCCAGTTCATGTTTTCCCTCGGGTCTTAGACTCAGAGCAGAGCAGGCTGGGGGAAGTCAAGTAGCATTCTCTGCATGAGCTGAGACACTGCCACTTTCAGTCTTCAGGGTGGGTGGTTAGGCTGGGGAAGGTTCAGCATAGGATACAGGATTTTCCCCTGTTACAAGTTTTTTAGTCCCCCACTTCTATAATGGCACTTTTACCCACACTAAATAACACACTTTCAATAAACTTTGCAACTGGATTTTACTGCCTGAAATGGCAAAATCCACTTACAAATGGTAGCTGAAGAGGACTGAAATTGCATTTTAGTGTGTGTGAAAGCTCCCTTATTTGCCAACTCCGGTTTGGGAAATAGCAGGAGATTTGGGGTGTGGGGCCCAGGGATGGCACAATTATGTATTCATTTATCTCATTTGTACCCCACCCTCCCTGCAATGCAGGCTCAGGGTGGCTCACAATCTATACCTAAATACAATTAAAACAATATAAAATCATCTAAAATCAATTCATTATAACTAATACGGATTAATATAGTGCTGGTGATGGTTATTTGGTTGTTCAGGATGGCTGACTCTCACGGTATACTTTCAAAGATCTCAGAGTCATTCTGCTCATGATCTTCCTGCGGCACAGGCTAGGTGTCAAAACCAAGGGCCAAGGCTCTATAGTGGCGGCGGCTCCCTAGCTGAAAGCCTGGTGGAAGAGCTCCGTCTTGCAGGCCCTGAGGAACTGTAAAAAGTCCTGCAGGGACCTGATTCCACCAGAACGGGAAGGGGGTGGGATGTCAGCATGGACTAACTCCATGCACCCCACCCTCCAAAGGAGCCATTTTCTCGAGGGGAGCCGAGCTCTGTCATCTGAAGGTCAGTTATGATTCCAGGAGATCCCCGGGCCCCACCTGAAGTTTGGCAACCCTATTTACAGCCCGGCCCGACAAAGTCCCATTTGTGTCAGATCCAGCCCTCATAACAAATGAGTTTGACACCCCTGGTGCGGAGAATAGTTTGTAGACGTCCTCTTCAGAAGAGAGGACAGAGCAGCTCTCCTTGGTAAGAGCTCTAAAATTTTCTTTAAGTGAGCTCTGTGCAGCTCCTGAACCAAGCCCTATGAAGAAAGGCAGAGGGACCTGGGAATGTTTAGTCTGGAGAAGAGGAGGCTGAGGGGGGACACGATGGCTCTCTTGAAGTATCTGAAGGGCTGTCACTAAGAGGAGGGCAGGGAGCTTTTCCTGCTGGCAGCAGAGGAGAGGAGTCACAAGAATGGGTTTAAATTAAGGGCGGGAAGGTCCCGGCTGGATATTAGGAAAAACATTTTACAGTCAGAGTTGTGCAAGAGAGGAATCGGCTGCCTGGGGAGGTGGTGAGCTCCCCCTCCCTGGCAGTCTTTAAGCAGCGGCTGGACAAACACTTGTCAGGGATGCTCCAGGCTGATCCTGCACTGAGCAGGGGGTTGGACTACATGGCCTCTACGGCACCTTCCAACTCGGTGATTCTATGTGAAATTGCATCCATGACGATGAAATAATGTCAAGCAACCTGTTAAAGCTAAGTAAGAAAATGATTAAAAATCTCACTTCTTTTCACCACATCGTCTAGTTACATGGAATGACATACCTTAATGAGAGTATCTTTGGAAAGGTTGTATACTAATTTCCAAAGGATTTCGATGACAGGAACCTGAGGAGGCTGAGGAGGGTAGGATCTGTGCGGACGGAGTTGTTTCCAAAGGAACAGAATCAGGAGGCACAGCAGCAAAGTAATCAGAATTGCCTGTATTCCCGACATGGTCCGTGTTTCTTTTTTCCTGTATCTTTCACCTGGATTGGCTGAATGCTTTTCCTCTAGTGTCTTTTCTTTCCTTTTCCTTCCTTCCAGATTATTGCCACTTGTCTCTGCTTTATGTTGACATCCTTTTATATATATAAAGTGCCCTGGGATCAGTGCCAGCTCATTTTGAATTACTATTAAGATTAATTATGGTTGCGTGTGTTTAATCCTGATGTGGTGGCTTAATTACTTATGGAGAACAGAGGTTGATGTCAACATTCTAGGAGTCCTTGCAGGTAGGTGGGGCTGAGAGAGCTCTGACAAAAATGGCTCTTTTTCAAGAACAGCTCTGACAGGACTATGGCTTGCCCAAGGTCATCCAGCAGGTGCAAGTGGAGGAGTGGGGAATCAAACCCGGTTCTCCCAGATTAGAGTCCGCCCACTTAAGAGGAGGAGGAGGAGGAGGAGGAGGGGGCTGGATTTATACCCCGCCCTTCACTACCCAAAGGAGTCTCAGAACTGCTTACAAACTCCTTTCCCTTCCCCTCCCCACAAGAGACACCCTGTGAGGTAGAGGTGGGGCTGAGAGAGCTCTCTCAAGAACTGCCCTTGAGAGAACAGAGTCAAGTGTCAGGTAGTCCTGTCATAGGTCTGGAATGTGGAGGGGTTCCTTTTTTATTTATTCCATATCTTCAACAACCCATGTCTAACATGTAATGATTTTAAAAATCTACAGTAACCTTAATTTTTTCATACCAAAGATAGCCATGCCGCCCATATCTCAGGTAATGTCCCTCCAACTCTAATAACCTTCTATTTCTCAACAATAACTATTCTTTCAACCAAACCACACAGCAGGCAGCAAAATGCCTTTTGACTGTGCTCTGTCACATATGAGTGTTTTTTTAAAATGATTTTAATTGGTTTTAACTGATTTTAACTGACTTCAGTCTCCCACTGAAAGTTCCCTCATCAATCTTATCTAAGGCATTCTCAGTAATTACAAATAGCGTGGAGGAGGTTTTCTTTCTCCTTTAATGGGGTAGCTACTGTTAGCTACTGGAGGTCGTGTCTTTTAGGCTTTTTAGACTTTTAGACATTCTTCTAATGTAACACTTAGGCAAGAGGCCGGGCCACTCAGAGTTGAAGCAAAGGTCTGGGAGCAGGCTATAACACTCTCTACATGGGGCTGCCTTTGTCGCTGATTCGGAGGCTGCAGCTAGTGCAGAATGCGGCGGCCAGGCTGGTTGCTGCTGTCTCGAAATGGGACCACATCCAGCCTGTGCTCAAAGCGCTGCACTGGCTGCCTATAGCATACCGGATCCGCTTCAAAGTGCTGGTCGTTACCTTTAAAGCCCTACATGGCCAGGGTCCAGCATACCTGAGGGACCGCCTTGCCCCACATAGTTCCCAAAGAGCACTTCGGTCGGGGTCGCTACATCGCCTTGCGATCCCGGGCCCGAAAGAGGCCAGGCTTGTTGCCACTATGGCCAGGTCCTTCTCGGTGGTGGTTCCTATCTGGTGGAACGAGCTCCCGGAGGAGATCAGGGCCCTGCGGGACCTGTTGCAGTTCCGCAGGGCCTGCAAGACGGAGCTCTTCCACCAGGCTTTCGAATAGGAGCCGCTGCCGTTACCACTACCACCAACGAGGACCGCTCTACAGCACCGCCGGAGGTTGAGTGGCAATGAACATCAGGGGGCCACAGGAACCTCCTTGGAATGGAACCTCCTCTGGAATGGAACCTCCCCTGGAGTGGAAAGGGCATGTGCAATATGAGAGAAGATTTTAGTCATGCAGGATCCTTGGGCGTGTCCCATGTATAAATTGTTTTAAATTGTTTTAATTGTTTTATTGTATTTTACTGCACGTTGTGCCTTATAGTTGTAAGCCGCCCTGAGCCCGCACGCGGGGAGGGCGGGGTATAAGTGGAATTAAATAAATAAATAAATAAAATCATAAAACGGAGTTTCCCATGTTTTTCACTCTTATCACATCAACTAAAAAGTTGGCCACTGCCACAGTAATCTCTACTGTTGTATCATTCAATAGAATTTGACATTTCATTTTATTAGGGAGGTGATGTTTACCGTGCAACCAAGTATTTAACCATTTTTCCCTAGCAGAGGCATGCAACGTATAGTCTAACAGTATGCGATCTATTGAATCAAGAGAGGTAGAGCCGCAGTCACATCTCCGTTCGTGCTTAGGAATATTTTGAAACCTACCATACAGTACTTACCTGGCAGGGGAGACACCTTGATTACGAATCAATTACTCATGTCCTCCTGTTCTCCAGATTCTATCAGGAGGAACGAGACCATCTTATATTACCCCTTCGGTCTAGATTTAGCCCTCTGAAGTCTTATCTTGACTTTAGGCAAGAAGTCCTTCGTAAATTCCTCTTAGAAGAAGTTCAGAGCTCAGTGACTTACGCTGTGGAAATTTTTTTGTTGCTTAGCTATTAGGAAATGTAAACTTATTTTAGCTGAATTTTTTTTATGATTCATAGAATCATAGAATGTTGGAGTTGGAAGGGACCTTGCAGGTCATCTAGTCCAACCCCCTGCACTCTGCAGGAGCACAGCCGAAAGATAGCCCTACAACATACCCAAAAGATGGTCGTCCAGCCTCCACTTGAAAATGTCCAGCGAAGGAGCATCCACCACCTCCCGAGGCAGACTGTTCCACTGCTCAACCAATCTTACAGTTAGGAAATGTCTCCTGATATTTAGCCGGTAACAACTCCCTTGTAATTTCCAGCCATTAGATCTAGTCTAGCAATCCGGAGCAAGAGAGAATAGATCTGCTCCATCTTTAACATGACAGCCCTTCAAATACTTGAAGACTGCAATCATGTCCCCTCTAAGCCTTCTCTTTCCCAAACTAAACATACCCAACTCTTTCAGCCTTTCCTCATAAGACCTGGCTTCCAACCCTCTCACCATCCTGGTTGCCCTCTTCTGGACACACTCGAGTTTGTCAACATCCTTCCTAAAATGTGGTGCACAAAACTGGACACAGTACTCCAGGTGAGGCCTGACCATAGCAGAATAGAGCGGAACTACCACCTCCCGTGATCTGGACACAATGCTTCTGTTAATGCATCCTAAGATTGCATTAGCTTTCTTCACAGTCACATCACACTGCAGGCTCATGTTTAGTTTGTGATCAACTAGAACACCTATATCCCTTTCACATGTGCTGCTGTCAAGTCAAGTCCCTCCCATTCTATATCTGTGCCTTTGATTTTTTTGTACCTAAGTGCAGGACTTTGCACTAATCTCTATTGAAATTCATTTTGTCTCAGCCAGTGCAGGACTTTGCACTAATCTCTATTGAAATTCATTTTGTCTCAGCCCACTGTTCCAGCCTTTCTAGATTGTTTTGAATCCTGACTCTGTCTTCTTTAGAATTAGCAATCCCACCCAGCTTCGTGTCATCTGCAAATTTGATAAGCATCCCCTCTATGTCTTCTTCCAGGTCATTTATAAAAACATTGAACAACACCAGGCCTAGAACCGAGCCCTACGGCACTCCACTCGAGACTTCCTTCCACGTAGACGCAGAGCCATTTACAAGCACTTGTTGGGGATGATTTTTCAACCAACGGTTGCACCATCCAGCCCATACTTAACCAGTTTATCCTCAAGGATATTATGAGAAACTTTGTCAAATGCTTTACTGAAATCTAGATACACTTCATTAGAAGTAAGTATTCTTGACTACAAAGTAGAATACCGCATAATTTATATTCTATAATATATATCCTAAACAATGTATAAAGCTAATGTGTCAGGTGGCCTCAGGAGTGGAGAGCCGCAGCACATCCCAATGTTGTTGCACTGAAACTGGAAGTCATTCGTAATCTCCTGTTTTGCTAGGTTTTAGGTTTTAATCTGATTTAAACGTATTGGTGTTTTAGCATAATAAACTTAAGTAGTGGGAATGGAGTAGTTCAATCTGATTTTAGCCAGATATTAAAGATATTTCACTGATTTAAATGTATTTTAGCTATCTATCTAGTAGTGTAGTGTGATATGAAAACGAGAAGGAAAGGGGTGCACCCCCTTGATGAGGACTTACCCCCTTCTAAGCATAAGAACATAAGAGACGCCAATGTTGGATCAGGCCAAAGGCCCATCCAGTCCAACACTCTGTGTCACACAGTGGCCAGAAATACCAGTGCCATCAGGAGGTCCACCAGTGGGAACAGCAGAACAATAGATCTCTTTCTGCTAGGGACAAAGACATGTCCCTTGAATATTTCTTCAGATCCTTCTTTAGAATCTCCTACTTACATTGCTATTATGGATGAACTTCTGGGGAAAAACAAAAAAAGGAAGAAACAACAAATAGACCTGGAAGTGTTTGGCAGATCAGACACTCTTAGGCTGAGTTCAGACTGGCAGTTTGAAGCGGGAGGGAGTAGTTGCAAAAAAGAGCCAGAACAAACTGTTCCAGGTTTTCCTGGTCCCACTGCGTGGACTGATGCAGGAGCATACCGGGAGGAGGCGCGAGGGAGTGTTCACACTGTTGGCCTGGAGGCATGGCTGTAAGCGGCATTTTCCTTGCTCCGTGGCAGACGCCTAGGTGCCTATGCGCCTAGGCGCATAGATGCCTAGGCGCAGCGGCAAATAGGGCAGGATCCGGCCGCTGTGGGCCATAGCACACGGCACATCCGACCACGTCACTACCCCCTCTTCAAGGCAATCACCTGCACCTTCCTGGTGCCAGAGTGAGGCTAGGAGGTCAGTCAGCATAGATGCCAAAGGCACAGCCTGCACAGTCCTCCTCCTGTGCGTCAGGTTCTGCATTGCAGTGTTGCAATGTCACCAAGCCAGGGTCCGCAGCATCTGAGCATGGAGGGCGCTCATCCAGCGGCGCTACATGGCTTGCAGAAGAGCCAGAATCAGGGAGTGCCTGGCCAGACAGTCCCTTGACACGGCTGGGGTAGTGAGACTGGGCGAATATTTATTGGAAGATACCAAGATACCAAGAAGTCGGTAAATCTGGTAGTAGCAAAATATTGCTTTTTAGTAATAAACAAGTGAAAGATTTTAACAAAAAGCACAGACTGAAGAGAATTTTAGACAAGACTTAG